AGACAAAGAAAATAAAGAGACAAAACACGCCTAGGAAAAGGTTGCTATTTTTCTAGGAAAATGTAGCTAGAAATTGACTAATTTTACAAGCAATCAATTAAAATTTTGAGTATTTATGCTTAAAAAAATTAAACCACCCTTGAAAATATTTTTTTGCTGTTCTATTTTATTACTAAATGCCCTATTTCAGTGTTTAAATTCCACAGAAATCGGCAGTATATCAGGAAATTTTGCCACCCCAAGGTATGAGTTACGTGTTAATAAGGATATATATTTAGTTAGCACTGTGCTAAACCCAGAACATCATGGGGTTGGTACATCATTAGCATGTTGATACTACCATTGTAAGAAGTGTTTTGGAGGTTATATTAGTACAGTAATTTGTGTGTATTATATTACTCATCAGTAATACAAATGTTCTTATTTTTTATTTAATTACTTTTATGCACAGACTTACAATAATGAGACCTAAACAACACAATGAAATGTAAAAATAGTCACACAGTTTGCTACGATCAGTGTGGCTAGCACCTCAGTTGCTTGCTATGGATACAAGCAAGGTTTGCTGATGCAATAGGCAAATGTTTAGTCATCTTTTGGATCTAATACTATTCTATACCAGTGGCTCTTTAATTGGTCAGAAGTGAAATGCATATAGTCATATTTATTAAAGATATTCCTCAGAAAGACTTCTTTGGTAAAATGTAGGCCTACTCATGGAAATTTGCATATGCCAGATTTGACAGGTCAAAACTGAGTACTCATTGTACTGTTTTCAAGGGGACACTTTAAAAATATGAAAATTTTTTGTGATTCCATTCACTAGGCATGACACTGTTCCTGTGTTAGATATAAGTAAAAATAAGATCCATGCGAGCTGGAAATCTTGTCATACTTTTGTCAAGTTAATGATTGGTTTTTAATTATGTAACAAAAAACAAAATTCTAAATTTGTAACAGTTTCTCAATAAAAGCATCTTATGTTGGAGTGATGAGGATACTTTTGTCACCAATGTTTGTATTTAATAGTATCTAGCACATGCCATTATTTTAATAAGAAAGTTTGTTTCACTTTGTATTAATGTATTGACATTTTGGAAATAACTTACATGTCAAATAATTTCAGTTAAAATAACTAAAATGTGGATATTTAAAACCTAAGTTATTAGGTGTTCACAAATGGATTAGAACTTACAGACTTATAGTTGCATGGAATATATGCATCTGGCAGATTCATCTTGTTATAAGTCACAGTATCTCATCACAACTTCAGTTTTCTTTCTGTGAATATAAAATTACACTAACCTTTTCTGTTTTCTCTTAGGCTAAGATCATATTATTGAGAAGAATGTTTCTAACAAGATCAGAATATGACCGTGGAGTAAACACATTCTCTCCGGAAGGAAGGCTGTTTCAAGTGGAATATGCCATTGAAGCAATCAAGGTTAGCTTATTACTGTAGTGGATATAAAACATGTAGTTGTGTTCCATTAATATATGGTTAACATGTCACGTACAGTGTCCTTGTAAACCCTTAATGGAAACATGTAATTGAAATATGTACTCTTGCTGTTACTTAATTTCCATAGATGTAACTTTTTAATTCGCTATTGATAACTTAAACATTTTGGACTTATTGAGAAAGGCCTAAGATAAATCAGAAGGCTGGATATTATTATTATTGATAACACAGGAATATCATAAAGCAAGAGAAATGGAAGCAACATGTTCAAGTTATTAGCAACTCCATGTACACAAAAGAGGCAACATAAAATGTGGAAAAACAAATCTATAGAGAATGTTTTATAAGTATGTTGGTAATTTTGATATAAAGTTGAATTAGAAGCAACTTTCATTCCACATTTGAAGCCCTATTATAAAATTCTAGATATTAAATATTACTTATCATTCCTCTTTAGATTTCATCCACTACTAAAATGTTTCATATGAATACTGTGATAGTAATGTGAATTTTATCACCAGATATTTCATGTTATTGCTTCAGTTTTATTAATCTATTTACTACAGTGAATTTTACAGCTAACTGCATAACTTTTTAGTCTTCAAATGTGTGTGTGTTTGACATATAGGTAGGATATATTAATTTAGTCCATTATAAAGTAACTGTGTATGAAGCTCATAGTTTTTAAATTGTAAAGCAGAATGTGGAAAAAATTTGTGTGTTCCTTTTGTGAAAATTTTTAATTACGAATGAAAGATGAAGAGTGGAAAAGTTGTGTAGGTTCCTCCTTTATGAAGCTGTTTCTGTCATTAATGTTTAAGAACAACTTCAGTTTAGTGGTTTATTGTAAATCAAGTATATATTAATTAGCCATATTAACTTTATAACAAGTTGCAAAATGACACGGTCACCACTTGCCACGTATGGGGAAACGGCTATTGACCTGTGCCGAATTGGTGCTTTATGTCTACCACCTATTTTTTAAAATATAATCTTAATAAAATTCATTTATACATGTACCAGTTAAAAAATGTGTCAATGTTTTTATTTATTTTGAGGATAAAATACTGGAGAAACCTTACGGCAAAGATTTGTACCCCATCTATGTCTATAAATTATATATCTATCACAGTTAATGCTGTTGTTTTTTGTCATGTGGTGAAAACGTTAACACATTCTCCACAATTTTGTCAATTATGAAACAACTGTTGGACACTGCTGCAGTAAGGAGTATATCTGAATAATCACTTATTTCTTTGAAAAAAGTTTTAAAACATTTTTTTTGTACAGGTCTTTACATCCTTAGTATATTTATGTTGTATGTATGATATAACCTCCTTACTGTTAAACATTTCATTTACCATTTAGTTGTTTAAGTTCTAAGATATGAAGTATATTTCATCCAAAGTAGTTTATTAGTTTTTATCACCAATGCTACACGAGTTAAATAGCAAGCCTGTCGTGTTTTGTTGGATTATTTTCATGAAGAATAGTTTTAAACTTTAATACTTTTTTAGGATAGCTATATAAATTGACCTAGTTTTTGTAATATAGGTAAATTACTTAGTGTAGATATATTCATGATACTGAAAACATGTAGGATCGAAAAGGAGATAATCCTCTTAAACCAAGAAACTGTAACCTGAACTGGTGTTACTTTTTTTTTCATGGATAAGATTCCAAATCACATACACTTGAAGAGGAAAGTCTGCTTTTTGGAAGTATTCAGGCTATCAGTCTTTGTTTTTTTAAACATGATAAATAAAAAATCAACACTGTTGATAGCTGAGACCTATTGACATGATAAATAAAAACCAACACTTGATAGCTGGGATCTACTGCCATTGATATGATAAATAAAAAAAACAATACTTTTGATAGCTGGGATCTACTGCCATTGACATGATAAATAAAAACCAACACTTGATAGCTGGGATCTACTGCCATTGATATGATAAATAAATAAAAAACAATAGTTGGGATCTAATGCCATTGACATGATAAATAAAAACCAACACTTGATAGCTGGGATCTACTGCCATTGATATGATAAATAAAAACCAACAGTTGATAGTTGGGATCTACTGACATTGATATGATAAATAAAAATCAACACTTGATAGCTGGGATCTACTGACATTGACATGATAAATAAAAACCAACACTTGATAGCTGGGATCTACTGTCCATTGACATGATAAATAAGAAAAATAATACTTTTGATGGCTGGGATCTACTGTCATTGATATGATAAATAAACACTTTTGATAGCTGGGATCTTTTGTCATTAATATGATAAATAAAAACCAACACTTTTGATGGCTGGGATCTACTGTCATTGATATGATAAATAAAAACCAACACTGTTGATGGCTGGCATCTACTGTCATTGATATGATAAATAAACACTTTTGATAGCTGGGATCTTTTGTCATTGATATGATAAATAAAAAAACACTTTTGATAGCTTGGATCTACTGCTTTTGAAATGATAAATAAGAAAACAATACTTTTGATAGTTGGGATCTACTGCCATTGGTATCCAGACATCAGAAGGAGTTATGCTTGCTGTAGAGAAACGAGTTACTTCAACCTTAATGGAATCAACAACAATTGAAAAGATAGTCGAGATTGACACTCATATAGGTATGTGCTGTTCTCATGTTATCTGTTACATAATTTTGTGTACAGTTATAACAAGTCACTACTCTTTAAAATATAATGAAGGCTGCTGAAGGAACCTTTTTAGTATTGTGATGAATTTATTAATTTATCTTATTTGACCTTTGAATTTAGAGCCAGTTAAGTATTGTAGATGTGGTATTTTCTAAAATGTATATGAAGGATAAATAACATTCGAGTAAAACCAAACTGTTTCAAAATAATCTTTGATCCGGAGCCATTAGCAGGAGCAAGTCTCAAATGTTCACATCTAATGTATATTATATATCTACGAACAGGATCATATACAAATTTAGATCTAAACTGTTTAATTGGGTTAAGTTTGGATAACAGGTTAATAGAGGTAAATTATGGTGATGATAAGGGATAAAATGTAAACAAGTCAGCACTTTTGAAGCTTATTGTGTGAAAATAATGTCCATCTGTTGATTAGTTGTGCTTATTCTGAATAACATTTTCAGTCATAACTTCAATAAGTTCAACCACCTTTACTGATATATGCTATCCATAAATCAGTATGGGAACCTGTAAGCATCAATGAAAAAAATCGTTTTTATATGAAAAAAGTTTAACTTGTCAAATTAAATATATTTCTTTTACCCAAGTTGTCAGATTCAGTAAAATGTTTGTTTATTTTACCATCATAACTGATAATGCTTTACAACTGGACGGACAAGTCATGAAACTAACTTCTTTTTTTGGTCAAATGTTTGTGGTTGCTCTAAAAGTTACTGGCACTTCCTATTCAAGGTCAGCCCATGTAAAACTTGTCTTTCTCAGTTTTATATGAACTGAGTACATTTAATGTGAAGATCCAAGGTTTATTTTCTTGATTTTGTTTCACTGAGATATCATTATACTCTTAAGACAGATTTAAGATGTCTTATTAAAATTCATGAAAGTAAGGATTTTTAACACTCATTAATTAATTAATTTGAAATGTTAAATAAAAAAACTAGGTAAAAATACTCATTTGGAAAAACTGTGTTTAAGGTTATTTTTTAGCAGCCTACCATGTTCAAATTTAAATATTTGTCACTTGTTATTGACAGTTATCTCTATTTTATTTTAATATGTCACATATCAAAC